AGAGTATTCTGCTATCATATATTTCCAATGTTTAGAACATCTGCACTATATTATGTGAACATTTCATATATATTTATATCACTACAGTTATGTGATTTCAATATTTTTAGGTTTTTTTGGATATACTGTTAATAATTCTGTATTTTAACAAAGTAATCATAGCAGCATTTTTAAAAAATTATTGCTGATTAAAAAAATTATTATTATTAGGAGGTAGGTATATCTAACTTTCTTTTTGAGGCAAGGATCTAATATTCCATCTGCAGATTTTTTTAAAAAAATATATATGACCTTTCCCTATTACTGATGTATGACATTTAGATGACTAAAAAAGATGCTTTTGAGTCATTAGTGCAGATCCTGCCCTAAAGTGCATGTCAACTAGTATCTGGAATAATTTTGTTATGGTTCTTTCTTTCCTGTCACTACTTTCACTTCCAGCAGCAGTCCTCATCCCTGCAGGCCATGAACAATGCATGAGCTGACCACACTTTTTTTGATCACATTCCTTCTGCTAGTGGAAGAAGGAAAGAATCAATACCTAACCCAGTGATGGCCAGTTTTGTTGGCACAACCAAGTTTGATGCAAAACACAAATGGCACCTCCTCAGTTCATGTATTAAAGTAGTAGAAAAGTGAGAGTATAAACCTACAATGGCTTTACACTGGAGATGGGGAGAATAGAGAGGTCCAAGCTCAGTGGAAATAACCCACCTGCATGCTCTGAAAGATCTAGCACTTTTGCTGGATAATTAAATTCAGTATCTTTCCTGATGAAACTCTGCTCAGGTGAAAATAAATTTGTTCAACTGATGAAAAGACACATCACAAAATGTTGAGTGCACAACACAAATGCAATGTGTGGTGCTTCTCTATGTGAGGAATGTAGTTTTCCTTTGGCTCTAAGCTTCTGCCCCAACTATTCTGTTATTTTCCATATTCTTCCTGCCACTTTAATCCATCTTACTATTGACTATTAATTACTATTATTAATGTATGTAAACTAGTTACTTTACAGCCACTTAAATCCTGAAATTTTCTGGCACCCAGCCAAACCTGGGGGCCATTGCAGATATTTCCTCAGAAATATCTGCAATGGCCAGACATTATAAATCCTCCTTCAGAGGTATAGTTATCATAGAATAATGTCAGTGTCTTTGAATGCCCATGAATGAAGTACAATAGACACCACACTGCTACATATTGATTCTTCAATAGACCATGTTGTAAACATATCAATCCAGTTTGTCTCCAGAACTAGAGATCAATAAAGCACATAAGGCAGCAAAATATGCTGTCTATTACAAATGTATATGAAGTTTGCCTTTATGGCTGTTTTTAATAGGGGAATACTGACTTCCTTGACTTAGCATAGTCAAGAATCAGGAGTGGACATGCTCCTGGTGGCAGGAGCCTGCAGGTAATATTTTTTGGCTGCCTGTGGGCTATGGGGGTATGCAGGGAGGGGGCAAGAGCTGTTTAATCCTTTTGGAAAAGATTTTTGCTCCCTAGATTTTAAAGGATTTTTTTAAAAAAATCATGTTAAGCCTATTTTTAGGGCTCTACATATTTCATTTTTATGCCTCAAAATGACCCCCAAAAATATAAATAGTGATTTTCAGTCGCTGTGGTCAAAGAACAATATGAAAGGAACCAAAGAGTGTTAGAAACTGTGAACAGCCCTCAAGTCACAGAAAATCCAGCCATTATGGCTACAAGTTATTTCTAACCATCTATCTATAGGTGTGATTTAATGTGATCCTATGCATATCTACTCAGAAATAGGCAAAGAAGGTAGGTACTAGATTTAAAATCTGAAGTATGTGTGATCAATTTGACAGTTTTTGGGGGGTCAGGGATATATTTAGAATTTTGAGGGTATGTTTTACTCAAGACTCATTTATGGAAGGCCTGCCTATTTGTAAACTGGCTTTCATGGTAGGCAATTAGTAGGGGTGTAGATGTTAGATATACTTTACTCAGATAAGGTGACAAGCCCGTTAGACACACAGAGGTGATAATTAATTGTCCTATTGAGAGGCTTCATGTCACTCCATCTCCTACAGTGATTCTAAGAGCTAGAAAAGGCTATCTGAGCAACATAAACCATGATGTGAACCAATGTAGCAGCTTTGCTTTTAGAGAGGAAAGAGGGGCATCTTTGAAGGGTACTCTGCACAAATGTTTCTTGCAGTAAAAATCCTTTGAAGATGTATACTATCCAGTCACAAAACATTCATTCATCAGAACTATACTTAGCCGTAAGGCGCTCTTCAGGCGCTATGTGTACACTTTGAGAGCAAGCAACTAAATTTCATTTTTAATGTGTGCCATTGTGCCCACAGTAAAACATGACAATAAAGGTTATCTATCTTTATTATGCTAGTAGGATTTTTGCATAGCCCAAAATCATTATTGCAAATAAGTATGTTGCTAGAGACTGGTGCTATGTCTTGCACCATGCCAACTTGCTATTTTCTAAAAAATGAAATGAATACTTTAAAAGAAAAAAGAAAAAAAGATGGATCTAGAACAGGGGTTCCCAACCGGGGGTGCGAGATGATATTCCAGGGGGTGTGAAAAAATGGGTTTAGAAGTTTCAAAATTATAGTGTATATGCCTAATTTGTTATTTTGAACTTTTGTAAGGGGTGCGAGAATATATCAGAAGCATTCTAGGGGTGAGGGTATAGAAAAGGTTGGAAGCCATTGATCTAGAAGCATGGTAAGCAACAAAGGAAGTATCTCACAATGAATAAAGTGCTTCATAAAAAAAATGGAAGACCTCACTATCACCTAATCAGTCTCTTAAATATAATAAAATTGAGCCTAAAAATCTGTTTGAGAAATGTTATGATTGCATAGAAGACAATGTTATAGCGGAAGAACAAGCAGGATTTAGAGTAGGAAGATATAATACAGACAAGGCAATAATATTGTAATTCTTAATAGAGAAATATTTTTGTGGATGTAAAAACACCCTTTATGCAGCTTTTATAGATCTTAGGTTTGCCTGCCTTTCACCATCTAGACTAGAGGGATACTATGGAAAAAAACTGCTAGTTACCGATATTGATAAAACATTCAACAGCAAATATATAAATGTTACTTGAGGGCTAGGTATGGTTCCTAAGGGTAAGCAAGAGATTTGATTAGTACAACCAGGAGTGAAAGAAGGTTGCATTCTTGCTCCATTACTTTTCAATTTTTAAAAAAATAAAGGTAAATACCTCAATAAAAATCAATTTCAGCCACCTAAACTGGTTAACAGAAATATTCCAGTAGTCTTGTCTGGTGACAACATTAGTTCTAAAATCCTTGGGTCAGTAATCTCTTTTTGTATATCTGGATGACTCTGAAGAGAGGGTATCTCTATTTTATATTTCTTTTTCTCTAAAAATGAGCATTTCAATCCATCTGCATTTGGCTATTTGCCCCCGAAGTAATGACATACTGTAGCTATTTTATATTACACAATCAGGGGTTTACTGTTGCAGCAGGGATGGTACAATCTAACTTTTTAAAGAGCAATTATGCAAGTTTCTTAATTTGTGCCCTGATGTCATGGCCTCCCTTTGGCTGTTCTTTAAGACCAATACAGGAGGATTCCTTACCTGGAAAGACAATGCTCTTATGAATCTGGACACGCAGAAACAACAGAGCATGTATTTCTCCAGTGCTTGTATTACAGACACATTTATACTAGTCTCATTTCACTGTTACAGGATTCACAGGACAAATCTACACTTCCCTGCTGCTTTCAGGTTTTGTGCATTGACACTTGCAATTCATAGTATGATGTCCTGTGCCATAAACTAGACTTAAATGAGCCTCTAGTTAGCCGTACTAGAATGCTCTGTAATCTGATGTAATTTTCCACATACTAACCTTTATGCTTTCATACACCCACCTAGTACTCCTATTCTTCTTTTTAGAGTCTTTTAGACTCATTTTTATATATAGTTTTTGTTTTAATATAAACTTTGTATCTTCTAGCTTTTCATAATTCTTATTTTTAGACTCTTACGTATGTTCTATGTCTTCCAGGGTCCCGAAAGATAGCACTACCTTATTGAAGAGACCCAGAGACCCAGACATCCACTCTGCTGGAGCATACTGGTTGGGCAAAAAACATGAAAGATAGGTGATTGATCCCTCATATAGCACTTAGGTCTTTATAGTTAATAGCTACACCTTCAATCCCGCATGGGAGCACACTAGCAATCAGTGCTTCTTAACAGGAAAGAGAAGCAATTCTGGAAAGTAAAAAAAAATAAGGTGCTGCTTTTAACTTTGGTTTTGTCCATCAATAATATGGACTCTTCTAATTATCAAAATTCCAACAAATGATTATCCAGTATTGTGGATGTACTTCTGAATATACACTCTTATTTGCTGGGATGTTGGTATTTATACACTGTGAAGCTGTGAAGAGCTGCATTCTCACAAGGAAGTCATTCTTGAGGGTCCAAAGTCTGTCCTCTTAGAAATAAATCTTCCTGGATTCAACGGACTTCCCAAATGCTCCGGCTTTAATGTGAAAAAATTCCCCTTCGCTTGTCCTTGTTGTAAAGTGGACAATATTTCAAGCATTTACTCTTCCAGGTAATTTGTCTACCCATCACTTAAATGTCCCCGACTGGAAAAGTTGATCCAATCGTAGTTTTCGAGCTCACGAAGCACTTTCTTCTACTCGAGACTGAGCATATTAGAAAAAAAAAAAGTGCAAGAGCGTTCTCCCTGCCATATTTAGTAACACGGGCGTACTATAACGATGCTGAACCTAAAGCTCTATGAAGCCTCCTTCTTAAGCTAACAACCTGCCGCCTGCTTCCCGCTTCTCTGCGCCAGGGCCATAAAGGCCCGGGCAGGAGCCGAAGGGAAAAAAAACACCTTGCCTCCGGCGCAAGAACTCTCGCTCCCGCACATGCTCCAACAGAAGCCCGGGCATGTGCAGTAGCCTTGCAGAGGCTGCTCAGGGATCTCTCGCCTAGCGCCCGCCTCAAACCTCGCCCTCTCCGCTTGCATCCAGGTGCGAGTGGCGCCAGATAGCTGCCATCGGGGCGGAGGAAAAGTGGCATTTCCGGGTGCCACTCCGCAAGACGCCCCGCGGGCCAGAGAGGCGAAATGAGTGGCTCCGAGGAAGAGAGGCAGTTGGAGCTCATCAGCAGCCTGAAAGAGCAAGGTAAGGTTCAAAAGCGAGTCGAACCCTCCTTGTCCGGCAGCGCCCAGCAGCTGCGGGCAGGCTTGCGTGAGGCGCTTTCGCTTCTGCTCTCGCGCGTGCCCTCCTTGTCGGGGCGCCTCAGAAAAGCGAAGAAAAAAAGGACGCCAAGGCGCTTTCTGTAGGCAAACGGTCCCCTCGCTGCGGAACGGCCTGAACCAGAGGAGCGTCTGAAGGGAATGTCAGAATGCAAAGCAGCCGAGGCTTTGGTGACCAGCCTTTGAGGGTGGGGCGTCACCTCGGAGGCAGCAGACTTGTAGCCCGGGGATCCCATATCGAGACAGCTGTTCAGTGACCGCCGTGCTCTTCTCACGCGGAGATCCACTGAATCCAGATTGCTTATTCCTCGATTTTATTTTATTTTCTTGCCTTCCTTGCGCTCTCTCTGTATTCCTGGGCGTCCCCACTGCAGGAAAATGCGCAGTCCACCCGCTTTCCTTTCTCAACGATTTAACCGAGCCTTAATTGACTTACTTAGTCAAGACTTCCTTATCAGCTTCAGCTGTATTATTTGTTGTGCCGGCTGGTGTGGCAGTAATAATAGATTCTATCCATTGGTGGATTTTGAAAGTAAGGGATAGGATGAAATCCTATGTAGCATCTAGAAACACCTTTTCACTTAACCTGCAAAGATGTCTTCCCTCTTTCATTAAGAAACTAAAACCCTGTTCACAACTGAAAAAAAAAATGTGCAGGGAAATTACTTGAAACAAAAATAGAACTGAATGTGTTTAAGACTTTGCTTCAAAATTTAGCACTTCAATAGATAATACCTCCCTGGATAGGAAATTAAATTTAACTCATAAGTTAGTGCTTAGCAGTTTTTATGCTTGAGCAATCCAGCCTTTGATGCTTTGGGCTACAACTCTGAAAATACAGTATCTTAATGTGTGAGTTTAGGGAACAGGCAGATGGTTAAGGGAGGTGAGATGTGCAGTGCTCACTCAGTGACAAAATGGTGTGACTGCAGACCAGCTGATCTCTTCTTCTACCTCAAGTTGTTTGTGACGATAGCACAGGAAAGGAATGGAGAGCAACTATGTTCTCCTTAGAAAAAAAAGTACGTAGTATTAATGAGATTTACCAGTACAATTCACCAGTACAATTTCATCATTTTTTCTGATTTCTTGCTGTCTTGTGAGAGTTAAGTTCATTTTAGATAACTCTTCATGGCAATAATAACTCTGTGAGTTTCAGTTAGCCCATTCTGACTTGATGCCATGTTGTTTTGTCTTCTTGGTCAACTGTGCATGGCACTTAACAGAAACAACATTCATTAAATCAAACATAGATCAATAAACCAATGATGGGAACTATTTTTGGCCTAAAATTTTAATCCTAGTCCAAGGATTGACATGAACCCCATACACATTTTTAGGTGGGGTTTTACTCATTCATGAAGTTTTCTAACACCGAGATTCTCAGCTGGTCCTATGTAAGCCTGCAGGTGGAAGGGCCAATTCCTTTCCCAATAATGCAATGCTGAGAAGATTGGATAGGAAACTTTTCTGTTTTGTTAGTGCTGAAAAAGGGGTGCCTTTTCAAAACTCGGGGGCGGGGGAGAAAGGCATAAGTACAGGAGAAGAAGAGAAGAGAAAAGATAGTTCTTCCCTTGCTGTAAAAAGTTGTGAAAAGGTTACTTTCCAATATCTTAAACTGAACTGTGATCTTTTGCAGGCAAACTAATTGTGCTTCTAAGCCGCAACCTATCTCAGGGGTCCTTAATTTGAAATTTGCAGAACAGAGTCTCACAAAATAATTGCTATAATGGCGTGGCCAAAATAAAACTTCATTTTTCAGTAAACAAGGAAAACACTAGGCCAGTACTCAGAGACTGAGTACCCAAACTGCAACCAAAAACCCACTTATGCATCGTCGAGTGCCGGGTGGGTGTGGTCCATTGGCTGAGTGTGGCCAATTGGGTGGGTGTGACCAATTGGGTGGGCATGGCTGCAGTGGTAATGGCAGACTGGGTGGGATTAAAAAGTTCAATCAATCAATTCCAACTTTGTAAGAACTTTTTTTTTCCCCGTGAGAAGTTGAAATTGACTGATTGAACCTTTTTTTTTTTTTTTTGCACATGGTGGCGGAGGCCTAAAGCAAAAAGGTTTTATAAAACCCAGCTGAAGGCCTAGGACTGGGGTGACAACGCGCGTGCCCACAGAGAGGGCTCTGAGTGCCGCCTCTGGCACCTGTGCCATAGGTTCGCCAACACTGCACTAGGCTGTAGCTACCCATCATTTTCTTTTTAAGAATTTTTGATTTGATCAGGCATAGAGACATTGTATAATTGGGTGCTTTGCTTTGCAGTGTGCTAGCTTCCATTCCAGCCACCATTCAGCATTCTGAATCAGTTGAGATGTTCTACCTTCACCAAACTTTTTTTTGTGTGTGAAATTTCTGGGAACCTTGGGATTTCTATGCAGATTTTGCATGTGGATGGAGTTGTACATCAAGATCTCTAATGAAATAATACTGCAACCATCATAAATATGAAACAGTTTCCAAATGTCTGAATTTTGATCATGTGACCAATGGAATGCTGCAACAGTCGTGTAAAAAGTGATCATAAGTCACTTTTTCTGTGCCATTGTAACTTTGAACAGTCACTAAACGAACTTGTAAGTTGAGGAATACCTGTACTGCTCCAGCCTTAAACCTAGTGAGCATTCAGCCTGAATATGTTTGGCCCAAAGGTAGGCGGACTGGAGCTATGTATTTCCCACAAAAAGGTCCTTTCATTCCTTATTTCTGAAACATTATGTATTATATTTTTAATAAGAATAAAAATAAGAGAAGCCATTAAAAGTATAATATACATAAAAATAGCACAAGTATAAAAAGATAAAAGGTTATTGCACTGTAGCCAACATATCCATTAAGAGTTATCTTGCATTGCTGCTGGTAAAGTGTCAAGCCCAGTTTAAGATATAGATATTAAACAATAAAGGCCATTTGTTTGTGATCCAACCAGTGAATTTACTTTGGAGAAGTAAATTGGAGAAGTAGCTAGGAGAAGCTTTATTTATGGAACTTTTTTACAAGGGAAGTGTAGTTGTCTGCCATTTACTTTACATTTTTAAAATGAACATTGTTTTAATCCCAGTGTTGCTATTCTTTTTGAACAAGGGACAAAATATGTGTCATGACATCATTATACGAAAACCACAACTTGTATAGTTGTATTGTATTGTGTCATTCATAAGAAGTGTTGCTGGTTGACAGTTGACCTTCACAGTGATAGACCATATCCTTGACCAAGCAACAAAGGGAAAATATGACTTAAGTACAAAACAAGAAGGAAACATGTGCAAAAGACTAAGGCAGGCATCTCTCAAATTCACATGGCTATAAGGTGTGTGGTGGGGGAAATAAAGTCAGACTTGCAAAGTTCTGTTACTATAGTCAATATTTAATAAAAGTAGTTTTAGCTAAGAGTTGATCTTTTGGTTTGGTTTATAGCAGTGTCTGTCAGTCCCATTATAGTATATGCCCGTGTGTCTGTTATTTTGACATAATCTCAGTTGTTAGCCCTATACTTATGCTGTGTATGTAAAGAGATTGAGTAGAATTAATGGATGTCAACCTGGTCAAACACAATTTTCATCCCTTGGTAATTTAATATCTTACAGTATATGACTATTGTCAAAAAGGCACTGTAATATATTCCATATATTTATGGAAAATTTACCACAGAGTGCTCTTCAGATATATCAGAAAATATTAATGTAGGATGACTAATAGTAGCTATCTTTTCAGACAACTTGCTTGATGTATGAATGTTGGGTTTCAGTAGAATGTATTGGGTACGCAGTTAGCAAGGCTTGTTCTCATCCTACCTAATACCTGGATATGAAAGGTCCTATCATTTGGTACATGATTTGTGGCCTTACATACAGAACACCCAGAGTTGAATTGGAAAGACTTAATGCCATCTCTATGATGATGTAATAAAATGTCATTTCAGTTCAAGTAACAAGTTCAGTTCCCATCCTGGCTGTGTCTTGAAAGATACAAAAGCCGGGTGGTTGGGGGGAAAGATTTCTAAATGAAAATATTTTATTGAAATTGGGTATTTAAATGCAAATTGAATTTAACATTTTCTTGAAGCATTGTATAAAATGTGAATCTACCTTAAACCTCAGATAAATAGGAATTTTTGCTTCTATCATTTTGTATATGAACACTTGTTAACAGCAGTGTATGGAAGCAAGAATAGTCCTATTCTGTTGAGATGGTATGAGCACAACACATACAATCAAGTCCTAACCCTCTTCTAAAGTTGCAAAAATGAATGAGATCAGTGAAAAAAGGACATATAGAGAAGATACACAGGAAAGAGAAGCCTCTATAACTGCAAGAGACAAGAGAGGGAAAGAAGAGAAAGTGAAGGAAAAAATTAACAGTTCTGCAATATGTATTCCAAGTATCCTCCATTGACTGTTGAAGAAATACCTGTTTAGCAGTGTCTAAAAGCATTTTTTCCCAAGAGTATTGTATGACATTCCTATCACCGTAGAACTTAAAATCACCATATTTTTTTAACTTCTAACAGCAAAAGTGTCTTCTGCTAGTGGAAAATATTTGTTCTTCTTTTAGTCTATTTCACGCTCACAAGTGAAGTGGGAAAAAAGACCAGATCTGAAAAGCCAGATTATTTTTGCACTTTTTTTTCTGTCTATGAACAAACAGGAAGGGAAAGTGAAGAAAAAAACTATTAACTGAGCCAACCAGTTGGCTTAACTGATACTGCTTTTACTTCTAAATGTTACATTTAGACTTAATAATCAGAAATATATGACAGTATTGATGAAATATTATTTATTTATTTATTTATGAGACTTATATACCGCTTTAAGTGCAAGCACTCTCTAAGCGGTGTACACCAGTAAGCAATGTATATATATATATTTACATTGCCCCCAACAATCTGGGTTTGTCTCGACCTCTGGTGAGTAATAGAA